TATAACACCTATATACTGTAGTATTTTCCATTTTCTTTTCCATTATCCTCATATAACCCCTATATACTGTAGTAGTTTCCATTTTCTTTTCCATTATCCTCATATAACCCCTATATACTACAGTAGTTTCCGTTTTATTTTCCATTCTCCCAATACTACCTCTATATATCCCTATATAACCCCTATGGGTAACCTGGAAGGAGCCGAAGGCTGCACCGTAGAGAGAAGGGTTTGTCTGGGGCTGATGTGGGGCTGTATGACAGTTATTTTAGGGTTATATTGGGGTTATATTGGGCTTTCAGTATGTTGGGTTATATTGGGGTTATATGGAGGTTATATGGGGATAATGGGAAAGAAACTTGAAACTATTATTATGGGTTATGTAGAGGTGGCACTTGAGGAGCCAGGCAATGTACGGGGATCACAATGGAGTTTCGTTTCACGATTAAGGATTCCCGCAGAGAAACGCCTAGGTGCCGTGATTGCAGTCAGAGCGTATCGTTGTCAGAATGACCGGCATTGTTAGTACGGTTCCTCTGGTGCCTTGAGAAACCCCATTCAACTCTACTGAACCCGTACAGTACTTCCCTACGACCGTTGCATGACTTTGGAAGCTGCTTGGTCTTGGTTCGGGGACATCTCACGCTGGGAAGCGGTTCCGTGGGCTCACGCCCCGTGACGACTTGTTCTGTAGCGCTGCGCTCAAAGACTGAGCTTCTCTGGTTCAGGCGGTGGCTTCAGTCGAGCCATAATCCAAGCCTCAGCAAAGCAGACTAAGAAGGTCCTTCCAAACAAGGGCTGAAGTGGTTGTACGCATATTCAAGTTGCTCTGTGATTTCGAGGCTTTGATTGCGGCTAGGTTTAGCGTTTAGGACTTCCGTCCCGTCAATCTGGGAATTTTGTTTGCAACCAGATCCACCTATTCAGAACCAGTCTTTGGCATTCACTAGGAAAGCATTTTGTCATTTCAAGTGCAGTGAAGAACTCAGGCTTGCTGCTTAAGAAGCTGGGCGTTCGTAAGGTGTGAGTGAGGCTTCACACCTGCGTAATGCCTAGACCTACGAACCGTAAGTTTCTCATAGCAATATCAAATGTAGAATCTGCTGCGCTGCTACGTCGTTGATTTGCCGCTGTGCTGATGCTTACTATGGACAGCGCTCTGAACAGGATTAATGAGACTCATCTTGCTTTGGTTTTGCTGCTGCGATCGTTTGTGTTATATAGGGCTTTATAAGGGTTATATATAGGGATAATGGAGAAGAAAATGGAAACTACTATACTGGGCTATATAGGCGTATTGTTCCGACTGCTACTTGTAATTAGACGCATGGGACGTGTTGGCAATTGCGTCACGGTTGCCGTCTCTGCTTCCGTTGCGGCAGCTTCTGCTCCTCCTCACTGCTGCTTGGACTGCTGAATAAGCAGCAGCTGCTGCTGCTGCTAGATGCCTAAGACTTCTATTGCTTGTGCGACTACTCCTACGCCTACTTGCACTCCCTACTACTATTCCTCCTCCTCCTCCTCCTACTACTACTACTACTACTACTACTATCGTTATTATTGTTACTATGACTATTACCACGTGCTTGAGGCCCTGAAAGGGTTGGGCAGGCGCAGTGAATTTGAAAGTCGGTGAAATCGTGCATCGTCTCGTTTTTGGACACCATCGTGGTGTCCAAAAACGAGGCGATGCAGGATTTCTTCGCAAGCCCTTTTTCAGGTCAGGAGGCAAACCTGAACCTGCAAGGAAACTTTGAAAGATAACATGGCAAACATGCTCAACCACAAGCGCCCGCACCCAGAACACTTGTGGTTGCCGCGCAACGAAAAAGAGGCTGCTGTTGCGGCCATCATCACGTTATTACAATTCCTGTGCCATTGCGCGTCTGTTCACGTATGACTATGATGATGACCTTATTCTGATTACACTGCTGCCACTATTTTCATGTTATAACTGTGTCTATTTGGGTTATACAGTAATTTCATCATCATTGGCAGGTGGTCAGTGGGGAAAATTTATGGTACCATTGTATCATATCATTCTATGTCTGTTTCGTTGTGGTTTTTCTCCCCACCAGTTACCTACAACAACAACTACTGCTACTGCTAGTACTCGTACTACTACTACTACTACTTCTACTACTACTACTACGACGACTACTACTACTACTACTACTGCTACTGCTACTTGTCCTACTGGTACTCATACTCCTTTTCCCCAGCGTGATGACAACTAACACTGAGATGCCGCTGCTGCATGCTATTGCCACTTCAATGACCTCTCATTATAACTGACTACCTACTAGTTTGTGCTGACTGCTAGCAGCTTTTGTCCGGGACTGAAGATTTGCCGAGTTGCGTGACTTGTTGAAGGACTCGCCACTTTGCCGCTGCAAAAGTGCTGCGAACTGACAGCTGGCACGCCCAGGGGGTGTAGTCTTCAGGCTTTCAATGACACACATGGATTTTTCGGATTTTTTGGTATTTGGAGGTCGATGGATTTGAGGTTCAGAGTTTGGCGCGTGAGTGTTGCGGCTATTTCTGAAAGAGGATGACCTTCGAGACGGATTCGCGTGCGATCCGTTCTATGTAGTCTATCACTGTTGACTACTTGAGAACTTGAAGGGGAGCTGCATTAAGGAGTACCCATAAGAATTCGCTAAGCCTACCTAATAGTGAAGGCTCCCCGCTAAGTGTGCCGAGGAATGTTGACATCTTTTCATGTCTTTAGCTCGTCCCGCAGGCAGCAAATCGAGGAATGATATGAACAACACAGTTTTGCGGTTCAAGATTTAAGCTGCAGCATTCACAATTTGACCTTCAACTAGGTTTAGGGCCTTTAGAGCTTGTGGTCTTTGACTTAGCGCTTCGTCAGCGTTTTGATTCCGAAACGTTGTTTGTCTAGTGCTTCAGTCTATGTATGCCTTAGTGCTTTTGGACAGTTTGCCATTCCTACTGGGGTGGAATGGCGTCTATCCTTGGTATTTGCAGCAATGTCTCAGAAGCCGCAGCATGATTTTGGCTCAGACTGTAAGCTCCAACTTCCAAGCCCATCATGTCCTCCTCACTGGATCAACTGAGCTTTGTCAAGGATGACTATGTAGCAATGGCCATAAAAGGGCCACCGTGAAGCTCTGCATGGAATTGCTTCCTTCGATGTATATATGGCTGAGTTAACGTGAAAGCTCAAGTGCTTGAAGCAAAGTGCGTTCTTCACAGTACCCACATTGATCTCGTTTTGCCGACGCCCTGATCAGTGCCCCAGACCAGTAGACACTCAACCGCATTAAGGGGGTTCTCATGCAATGGTTCAGCTCCTCCGCTGTTCCTCGTACGCTTCTGCTCCTGATAGTGCTGTTGCCTCGGCACTCAGGCCGCAGCTACCCTGGGTCAACACTAATCTCCTCACCCTAATATGAAACACCCAGCCCCCTACTATTAAATACTCCCGTTAGGAAGGGTTGGGTGTTTAATATTAGGGGGAGGGGGTTGGGGATTCTGTTGAACATGCGTTCTTGCAATGGCATGCGTGATTCTTATGGGCATGGATGGGGACCAGGTAGCCCGGGCTCTTTTTATTGGGGTCGGTAGGTAGCTCAGTACATGTTAGTTGCAAGAGGTTACATTTAGGACGGCTCAACCCTAAATCCTACACAATCCGTTTTAGTAGTCTCCATTTTCTTTTCCATTATCTCTATATGAGCTATAGTCTAAACTCCTAGTATCCCCCTTAATAACCACTACTGTAGTCCCTATATAATCCCCTATATATCCCCCTTTAAGGAGTTTAGATCATATAACCCTAAACCCTAAACCCGAGGGAACTCCAAGGCTTTTCCCTGAAGAAACGTGGAGTCCCATTCAGGACCCTTTCGCAGCTAAAGTTGTCTTTGTAGGGTTTTTTGGCGGTTCCCTTTAGGGGATGGCAATTCAAGTTAGTGGTGTCTGTGCGCAGCACGAAGGACCTAAACCGCAAAAAAAGTTAAGCCTGGAGGGTACACTAAGTGCCTTTCTGAGGTATGGAGCGCGTCCCTACCTGGGAACATGCGTGCCAGGAGGTCCCGTGCGTCGACTAACAGTCTTGGAGAGTGTACCATTCTGGGCTTTGCAGTCTTGTGTGGGTTCCGGGGGTTCAAGATATCTCGTTGCAGTTACACATAGGTTGCTGTGGTGTTACGAGGGCGATAGAGCACGCAAGCAAACCGCAGGGCCCCGTAGTGTGAATGCCGCAAGCTTCAACATTTTTCTTTCGCAGAATCCTGCACCGATGCACATTCCATCATAAACAGCCGCAATCTTCTAACACAATTGCTATGACTGTTACGCTTCAAATCCGGTCTCTGAAACTTGTCGCTTGCAAGGTGAAGTCTGAAGGCTTGGGATCGTAGGTGTCAATGGCGTGGAGTTGAAGGTCGACGTGGTCATGCGGGTAGTTGCCAAAGTCTTAAACGGGAGCTGAAGTTGGACATCTAGGCATATGATTGGGATTGTGGCCTTGGGTGTGGCGCCGACGAGGCCCGAGTTAAAGAATTTTAGCATGCGCAGGAGAATAAAAGTAGAAATAGTAGTGATTGTAATTGTCGTAATAATTGCAATGATTCTAATAGCAGTAATGTGTGTTTTCATTGCAATAATAGTAATAATAGTAAACGATGTAATATTTGTATTACTTGTAATAATAGTAATAATCGTAATATATTATAATCAGTCTAAGTTTGGGCGAAGGGTCCTGGTCTTTCTCACGTCCACTTCCCGAATGCTGCTCGAAAAGAACACATCTTCACGAAAGAGCCAGAAGCTCTAAGATCTTGAAGCTCTAAGATCTTGACTCTCAACCCGGAGAAGCCCTAACACCCTGGTCTAAACGCCTAGTATCCCCCTTAATAACCCCTATAGAAGTCTGTTATATAATCCCCTGTATAACCCCTTTAAAGAGTTTAGACTATAGCTCAATTGATAGTTGAATTTCTGGTATCCTTGCAGCATTCGTTGCTATGCAGGTATTATCCTGCGGCAAAAGCCGCCGAAGCCTCAAGCGTACAGCGTTCTTGTGGTTCTAGGATTCGGGTTGTGAGTTTTGAGTGTAGGTTTACCCTAAACCCTAACTCCAATATTCCGGGATCCTTGTGCAATGCCAGTGTAGCTTGACAACTGACAATCATAGGGCTTGGACTTTTTCAGCGGACTTTGGGCTGATAGTCGGTCTCTACAATGGTTAGCGTTTTGGGTTAAGGGTTTACCGCGATATGGCGCTGAAGCAGAGATGGTCATGCCACAGAGTCGACTCGAGCGTGTCGTGCCATGCGACATGCTGCTTTGGCCTGACTGTGGAAGGCCTTCTAACACATTCACCCACCCCACGCCGTCCCAGGTGGCCAAACCACCCAAACCTATTCCTATTAGGTTTTAGGACTTAAGCTCAGTTAGGTCCACCTTGGTCAACAACACAGAAAGTTGCTCCTCAAATCAGATTTTTGGGAAGTTCTGAGGCTTCTGGAGAGTTTCTAGGAGGGGCAGCCATGGCAGCCGAGGCCTCTGCAAGGCCCCGCCTTTGCAATAACTGTGGAGGCCTCTGAAACGCCCGGTGCCCCTGGCGCGGTTTAGGGTTTAGGATTTAGGGGCCCAGAACCCTGAACCCTGAAGCCTCTCTAGGCTTATCCTGGGTGCCTGAAAAGCGTTTGGGAGGTCTGGAAGCCTGGACGTCCTGAAGGCCCCTGGACCGGTTCCTTTCAAGGGTGCTACCGTACCCGTGGCTGTGCTGGCATAGGCGCCGCCCACCATCATAGGTGGGCGGCCTAAGCCATGAATTCAGGGTACGACAAAGCAGCCATAATCTAAACATAAATCCAAAACCAACCATTACCTTCAACTGCAAACCAATTTAGCCTGAGGCCAGCCTAAACCCCATCATAGTAGTTTCCATTTTCATTTCCATTATCCCTATATAGCCCCAGTATACTCACCACAATTTTTATAGTTTCCATTTTCTTTTCCCGTCGCCCTATATCACCCTTATATAGTCCACATAGTCCCTATAGTTTGCATTTTCTTTTCCATTATCCCTAACCCCTAAACCCTGTATAACCCCATTATAATCGTTACCATTTTCTTTCCATCATCCCAATATTACTCAAACTGCGGGACCGCTTTTATAGGCAATCCCTCAAATAGGCATACGCGGCTTAGGGTCTAGGGAGAGGGATACGGACATTAGAGTTCAGAGGCAGCGCACGGCAATTCCAATGGGGTTCTTCTCAAAAGGAATTGATCATTTGGGACCCTAGGACTGCAACATGGACCACATTTCTGACGCACGTACAACCCGAGAAACCCCCATATCCTCTTGTTCTGAAGCATCCTTGAACCTTTGGGTGAACGCAAGAAAGCCTTAATGTAGGAGCCTGATTATTTGCTTGCAGAATTGTGGAGAAGTTGCCTCAAATAGACCGTAACCTGATGTGGGTACTTCTTCAGGCTTCTGGCTCACATTATAATCTCACTTCCCATTTCATTTCCCATGCTCGTCTCCATTTGATTGTCAATCATAGGCCCTAACCCCTAAGCAATGTTTTCCATTTTATTTCCCATCGTGGGGATAACATCTCTAAACCCTCAGCCTCATGTATCATTATATGTCCCCATCTATACCCACGCATATGTATATATGTACATATATATACACATATATCTGTAAGTCCATCCCTGAATATCCCTTAGACATTTGGGAGTTTACCCGGGCGGCCTTGCCCAGGACCAACGGACAAGTCTCTGCTTACGCTGTCTCACTGCAGAACTTCGTTCAAAGCCACGCGGAGCATGGGCTGTTTCTCTAAGTTGGAGGTCTCATGAGATGAATTTTGGGCGCCACGGATTTGGGAGCAGCTACCAAGCCAGCTAGACATCCTTTTCTGTAGATATGAATGCAACATGCGCCCATGACATCGAACTAGGGAGTTCTTGCAGGTTGGAATTGAGATGGAAGCGTCGTTAGACGGTAAGTGGTGTGCATGACGCGTCCATGATTAGACATTGCAGTCGTATACTTACTTCCGAATTCTTGTTTCCTAGCAGTTGCTGGCTGACCCTGGTGCTGCTAGCTGTTCTGTTGTACAAGGCGCACAGCTGATTGCACAATTTGAAAAACTTGTCGGTGTTCAGTAGGGAATAAGGGAATATACTCCATATATAATCCCCATATACTATATTCCCTTATTCCGTACTAGCCACCAGTAAGAAAGAGGCTGCAAGCCCTGGCGTTCCTGTTTGTCAACAACAGGGTCTGCCTACAACGCGACAGAGCAGGAAGGGCTGCCTCGTAATAGTAGTAATGCTAGTAACAATACTGGTAGCTGCCCATTCTGGGATGATCGTAGTACTGGCCTGCAAAAATCACATGTTGGGGTTCTCTGCTTTTCTGCGGCTTCCAAAGCTTAGCCCAAATCTCCAGCCTCTCCACATCTTTCCCACACGCCGCATTATTACCCCATACCCTACATAGTGGTTTCCACATCGAGCTTTTGATATTCCATCTGATGCTCCATTATTTGGTGAACCCTAAATCGCAATATCCATGTCATTTTCCATGAGGCTACGGTGAGCTGAAGTTGACAGCCAAAGGCTCAGTGATGCTTGGAAGCAGCAAGGTCATGACCAGAGATGCACGCAAGCTCCTGAAATAGAAGCGGTTTCTTGTAAGAGTTTCGGGATGTAGGCCTAGGAAGGGTACAGACAGAGTGTCGTGTTCTTGGGTGCTAGCAAGTTTGTGCAGGTTGGGAAGAGGCTTCAACGATGAAATTGCCTTGTACAGCAGGGAGCTGCAAGCTACTCGTTGCAATATGAGATTTTTTCACAGGCTCCTCAGCTCTAAATTTAGGCCCTCACCTAAACCTTGAATCCCTACCCCAAGAGCAGAGTTGCACCTTAGGATTCAATGCATGGATGCCACCGCCGCCATAAATGGTCACTACGTCCGCTTGGAGGATGTAATGACGAGGCTCTTTATAGCAGCACTGGCTGTACTTTCAAAAGATGTGGCTCTACCCGTGGGGATTCAGAACTTGACAGGGCTAGCATGAGGCTTTTTGCCCCTTCGGCTCTCTACCTCACAACCACCCGTGTGTTTCCAGCCTCCGTCTGTCTCATCTCCACAGTTTACGTTCATTTGCTCTGGAGCAGTCCGGAGTCTTGTCGAAAGAAGCCAGGGCTTTCTTGATATAGCTGCATCATGATCAAGTTGCGTGGCGTCAAATGGGTTATTTGATTGCATGTAGGGCGATATGGCCCTGTCTGCAGATACTCGCTGACCAAAGTGGCGGCGGATGAGCACGCCAACGCCAATTGGAACTACGTGTACATTTTCGATGATGATGCCCCTCATCTGCACTAGTCAAGGGTAAGACTGCGCCCGTGGTTGTCAAGTTCACGTACCGCTGTATATGAGAGTGTGTCAAACTGATCCCCAAAGAATCCATCGTGATAGATGTACAAATTTCAAATTTGTGACCCCCATAGTCCCAGTATGCTCCCAAGATCACAGGAGTTTCAAAAATTGACAACCATTGTGTAATTTGATAACTGGTTTCCACCTTATCTGCCTTCAAATAGAATTACCCACATTACCCGAAGCCCCGACAGGGGAACCCTAGTTTGTGGAAGCCTAAACCCTACACCCTGAACCCTGAACCCTTAAACCCTGAACCCTGAACCCTGAACCCTAAACCCTTAAACCCTTAAACCCTTAAACCCTAAACCCTAAACCCTGAACCTTGTCCGAAGAGTTGTAGAAAAAACCCTAAGCCCTGAACTCTAAACCCTAAACCCTAGACCCTAAACCCTGAACCCCAAACCCTAGACCTTAAACCCTAAACCTTAAATCTGTATGTGCATGAAAGGACAAGCCCAGCTTCGACTTGCACGTGTGACGTGCTGAGTGCGGGCTTGCCATGGGGTCGATATCCGGGTTTGGGGTAAGAGATGTTCCTTCATAAGAATTTATGGGAATATCCAGAGACTTGGGGGATGTTGTGATTGTGCCTCAAATGGTATAAGCCCCCAAACTGTAGAAATTTCCCCTAGCAGGCGTACACCAAATGCGGAAACACTGCACCTTTTGTTTTCTACAAAGTCTAGCTCCAGGGAAGGTGGACTTGCATGTTGAGACAGCTTCCCAATTGTGACTGTCGGCCTAACGGGCCTCAACACCAACGCTCACAAAGATGGGCACTTTCCAGGTATTTCGCATCGCCACGGAGCTGTGCTTTCGTAGACCCTTCCAAACGGAGTAGTTTTATTCAAAAAATTCTTTGTGGTTGGGTCAGTGTGCACGTAGGGCGTAGGGTCTCTTAGGAAGATTGGTGAGGGTGGGGTGTCCAACTGGGGTAACTTAATTATGAGTCTTACCTTCAGTCAAGCAGAAGGCTGGGTTAACTGTGGATTCTAACAAGGCTCAAAAGTACCCTAAACCCAGCGCCAGAGCCCCCTTGTGCATTAGTCATATAGTCCCCCTTAAGTAGACAGAATATGGCATTGGGTATATTATAATAAGATCCCCATATACCCCATATTCTATCGTAAGGGGACTATAATCCTGCATGAGCAGGGAGGGACTCTGTCATCCGTGGGTTGCGATGGCCACGTCTTGAACGGTCACCCTTGCCAAGTTAGCCCAGCAATGAAAGGATCCTTTCAGTGGGAGCCCGAAAAAAGTGGAGTCATGAACACTTGCTGACAGACTTCCTGACCTGCTTTTGATTGCTCAGCGTGCCTTCAGTTGGCGAGGAGCCTCTCAAGGCAATTGTGGCGTCCCCTTTATTCAGAAGTATTCTTTTTTTGAGACTCCCTAGAGGAAGCCAAGAACCCAATTCAAGTAGTTGGTTCATAATCCCTACATTCTATGCCAAGTACCCTATATCCCCCTTTCCCCATCAAGCCCAACAGAAGGCTTGCTCAACAGAGGCAGCAGGAGTTTTCTGCGTGAAAAAGCGCCCGTAGACCAGCGGACAGGGCTTTGGGTTTAGGGCTCCACAAAGAAGCATGGCACCTCCAAAACGCAACAGGTGGGTACAACTTTCTAACACCGTCCCCTGAGACTATTACGAAATATGATAATCCTCCATACACCACAAAAGTTTAAACGTTCCCCAACAAGCAGCTTTAGTATTGAAGTACGCAGCAGCTCGTTTGATGCATGGACTTGATGTCAGGTCTGTTGCGTGGGTACATTCCTTCTAAACGGGAGAAAGAGCTCAGGGTTAGGGATTACAGTGTTGATGTCATAGTTAAGCTACAGAGCTGCCAGGAAGTTTCTTACGTCGGATTGCGATTAAACAGTGCCAAGGACTCAAATCCTGTGATTCCCCCAGCCCTTGAAACTTAGAACCCTTAACCCGAAATCACTAGCACTAAGCCAAAAACGCGTCACGACGTTGGCCGTGGCCCGTACTTTAGACAAAGCAGAGGTAGTCTATGGCAGCTGTAGACCGTCCTGCGTCCCAAGCCCGCATCCCAGGCCTTACACCCAGAAGACCCTAAGCCTTAAACCCCAAATCCTAAGCCTCAACACTGGGCAAACTAGAAGGAGCTTACCTTAAGTGGTGGATTATGCAGTTTTTTGTTGGAAATCGACCCAGACTGATTTTTTTGTTAAGCTCCGAATTTTTTGAAGCCTGCAATGTGGTAGTTGCCATTGCCTTCTGCATCCCAGGAATGGACAAGGAAGTTGACATTCGAATTGTCATAGGAGCATGTACAGGAGCAGGTGTCCTCTGAAAAGCCCCAAGCTATCATCATCCTATATATAGGGATTCTCCAAGGTGAAGCAACATATTTGGACAACCCTCAGGCCTAAATTCGATAGTGACCCCACCAAACCCTAAACCCTAAACCCTGAACCCTCAACCCTGCACCCTGAACCCTTGAACCCTAAACCCCAAACCCTGAACCCTGAACCCTAAACCCCTAATTTTTTGGCCCCGCTTCTCCCTATGTTCATCACTTTTGGCGGCTGAAGCTTCGACGGGGAGGGTTTCAGAACCCAAGCCGGGGCTGAGCCTTGAGCAGCCCCAAAGCCATGGCCCAAGGTTTAGGGTTTAGGG